TATTTTCAATAACCTCATATGCATGCGAAAGCTGGATAGTGAATAAGGAAGACCGTAGAAGAATTGATGCTTTTGAATATGGTGTTGGAGGAGAATACTGAAAGTGACATGGGCTTCCAAAAGAATCAACAGATCCATTTTGGAAGAAGTGCAGGTAGAATGCTCCTTGGAGGCCAGGATGGCCAAACTTCGTCTCTCATACTTTGGACACATTGTCAGGAGGGACCAGTTGCTGGAAAAGGATATCATGTTTGGTAAGGTGGAGGGTCAGAGAAAAAGAGGAAGACCCTCAACGAGATGGACTGGCCAAGTGGCAGCATGGATGGACTCAAGCATGGCAACAGTAGTGAGCTTGGCCCAGGATCGGGCAGTGTTTCGTTCTACTTGTGCATAAGGTCGTTATGAGTCGGTACTGACTCGATGGCACCTAACAACAACACAAGGAAGAGCAACTAATATGACTATTATTCAAATTTATGCACCAACTACTAATGACAAAGATGAGGAAATTGAAGTTGGGTTTTTTTTTACCAACTTCTGCAGTCTGAAATTGATTAAATATGCTATTAAGATGTATTGATAATTTCTGGTGATTAGAATGAAAAAATTGGAAACAAAGAAAAAGGATCAACAATTAGAAAAATATATGGCCTTGGTCATAGAAATGACACAAAAAGCTGGATGATATGAAGAATATCATGGTATCAGAATTGGAAGCAGAATCATTAACTACCTGTGATATACAGATGACAAAACTCTGCAGCAAAAATGGCTCAAACAGATTGTGTGGATGGTAAGATACCAGGCAGTGTTTCCTTTTGTTGTCATGCAGGGTTTTGTTATCTGCATATGGAGTCCTGGTGTGTCACTGTGGGATAAAGCACTGGATCTCAGAGTTGGTTTGAACCGCAAGATCAGCAGTTCAAACTCACCAGCTGCTCCTTGGAAACCCTGTACAGGGTCATTAAGAGCCAGAACCTACTCAAGGGCACTTAACACTATGAGTTGGAACTGACTAAGCAGTACCTAATAACAACATACTTTTTTTTGTATTCAACCAAATAAAAGTATTCTTAAATGCATATATGAAAGTATGTGTGACATGAAACTGCTACAATTTTTTATTGTATAACAATTTTGGATTTTCATTTACTTTTTCAGAATACTCATATGTCAATACTAAAAGATTTTGTTATAATCTAAATTGTTACAATCTAAATGTTACTAAAAGATTTGTCAACAATCCTCTGATGTTAGTATTTTCTGTTTATAAAGCCCCACTCAGTCAGTAATATCCATAATTTCCAGGTATCTTAAGGGCCTACCATTAAGTGTACCAAACTTTTTTTTTTTTGCTACAGAAATTCATTCTTTTGAAACTGAGGTTGACCTCCTTCTCCAGAAATTCGTATTGTTAACAACACAACTTTAAATGAAGACTATATCGATAACACTTTCATAACATGTTATAACCTAAATCAAAGTAAGCCCCATTGAAACTGTTTATATTGATATTTTCCTTAGTCAATTCATTAAAATTTCTTAAAAATTAGCATGCAGTTTTCCATTAAAAATACACTAAGTTCAAAGTTTAAGTGACTATGTATAACAAGCTTTAGAAGGAAAATGATTGAGATAGGCATTCCAAGAAACAAAATACAAGGCTTCATTATTCGGATGCTCTAGTACTACAAATGAAAATCCTTCTGTCTGCTACGATTTCATTACCACAAAAAACAAAAATACTAAATACTTGCATATCTAGTATAAAATACAATGAGTAATACAATTTTGAAACTATTCTAGACGTGGACATTTTATTCCTTGATGTTTTATAACTCATTACTGATTTTACTTCCTAAAAGCTTTTCAGCCAGCAGTTGTTTCTAAAACAGTGTGCTAGAAAATTCACAAATACCAATGCTTTTATTTTAATTTATACAAATTATGTGGAAAAAGTAGCTTCTAAATTTTGAGGTAAATCAGTCCCTTACCGTATCTTCAGGAAATAGCTTCCCTTTTTGAAGTTTAATCTTTTGCATTAGGTCTCCTCCATCACAATATTCCATCACTATATACAGATGTCCATCAGCTAAAACACAAGTGACATGTTTTAGAAAAGCCAAAGTGGTCAGAAATTAAATTAAGTAATGCACATTTTGGGGGGGATTTCATATTTACCTTCAAATGAGTCTTTAAAGGCAACAATATTGGGGTGTTTCATTTTGGCTAACAAAACAGCCTCCTTCCTAGAATTCTGTATATCAGAGAAAGACTAGATAGAAATTTTAAATAGGTGTAAGTTAAACTTGCGTTTTAAAGTAGATAGCTTCACAATATCAAGTCTGTGTGATACTTCAATACTAGGTACAGTTTTATGCACTCCCCCTTGGCTCAACTTAAGTTTATAAAACATTTAGTGATATTCTGTAGAGTTGAACTGATCGCCTATTTTCTTGTTGTTGTCGTTGTTAAGTACCATGAAGTCAGTTCTGACTCATAGCTACACTACATAGGGTTTCCTATGCTGCAAATCTTTACAGAAGCAGAAAGCCTCATTTTTCTCCCACGAAACACCTGGTACTTTCAAACTGACCTTGAGGTTAGCAGCCCAACTCGTAACCACTGTGCTACCAGATAAAGAACAGAATAGTACTGTTAAGTTTTAACATCAGCCAAAGCATAATGTAAGGAGCCCTGGTGGTGCTGTGGGTTAGGCATTGGACAGCTAACCATCAGGTTGATGGTTCAAAGCCAAGTCTGTCGGCTCCCATAAAGATTTACAGTCTTAGAAAGCCTAGAGAGGGTTAGTATGAGTCTGAAATGACTCAATAGCAGTGAGGCTTTTTAAAATCATATGTGATTTGAACAGCCAATGTTCAATCAAATGCAGGTTTCTTTAAAAAAAAAAAAAAATCGAGGGATTTAGTATTCTGATAGTTCATATTAACAAACCACTAGCCCAGATGAAAAGGAATATATTGGTATATTACTGCATCAGGGATTGATAAAGATAATTCATTCAACAGTTCAAAAGCAAGTTTCCAAAAAGTGTTAATCCCCTTACTTATTCTATGGGGATGAAATCCTGAATGATTTACCTTATAATAAAAAAGTACCATTGATGATGTGCTAGCACAGGGTTACCAGCATCAAAACTAACTGGGAACACATTAAAATTGCAAATCCACAAGCCCATGCTAAATCTACTAAATCAGAAATTCTGGAGTGGGGCCTAGCAATCTGTGTTTTAACCAGCTCTCCTGGTAATGGTAACCAGCTCTCCTGGTAGTCAAATTTGACAACCACTATCATGTTTGGTAAGATGAAGACAAGCAACAATTGTGACCAGGCAGTGTTTCATTCTGTTGTGCATAGGGTTGCTGTGAGTTGGCACCTAACAACAACAACATCAAAGGTTCAAGAATATAGTGTGGGAAAAACACTTAGCATACTAAGACCTTTAATAAAATGTACTTTTTAAATGGATGAAAATATTAGTAAGCACCCTCCGTGTCATGGGTTCTTTCATTCAACAACTATGATCCGCCAGTTGTGGTCCAGTCAATTCCTCTTAAGGAATTCTCTCACCACTGTTCATCCAATTCACATTAGAAACCTGGGAGTCAAATTTGCAACTTTTCTACACTTGTTCTTCATAAATCTATCACCAAAAATCCTGTCAGTTATTTCTACATACTTAAAATTTTCTTCATACCCACGGCCACTGCATTATCCCATTTCCATCCTTATTTTCCTGTCTTTTCTATTGTAGGCACCTCTTAACTGGCCCCTATGCCTCCTCCCTGACCCTCCCGTATCTGGTCCAGTCTCTTCTCCTGTCAGAGAGTGATTTTTCTAATATATATATATATGTCACTCTCCTAGTTAAATCCCTTCAGAGACACCCCACATGACACAATGATCCCATTTGTGTCAGAGTAGAACTGTGCTCCACAGGGTATCCAATGGCTGTGATCTCTCTGGTGTAGAAATCAAGGCTTTTCTTCCTACGTGCTTGTGGGTAGATTTGAACCATTACCCTTCTGGTTAGCAACCAAGCACTTACCCATGTGCACAACCCAGAGACCTCTAACTATAAACCCACCACCCACTGCTGTGAAGTCAATTCTGACACATGGCACACAGGACAGAGTAGAACTGCTCCCTGGGGTTTCAAAGGCTATAAATCTTTATGGGAGCAAACAGTCTTACCTTTGTAAAGTGAAGTGACTGGTGGGTTTGAACCACTGATCTTGTGGTTAGTAGCCCGACATTTAACCTACTGTGCCACCAGGGCTCCTTTTTAACAGCTATAATAAATACTAATAAGCCACCACCTTCCTCGTCTTACAATGTAGATTCCATGCTAACAAGGGCTAGCATTTTAGTTCCTTGCTCTTCATTATATTTTCCAAGTTCCTTTTTTCACAAATACTGCATCTGATGCTTTCTGCAGATTTAAGACACCCATGAGTATTTGGATAATTTATATATTGTTATAAATTATGCTTATTGAAGTAAAATAAGCCATAATCACCAACTAAACATTGACTTTTTCTTCTCTTTGTTAATAACAACGCGCTGTAGGATCAGCACTGGACAGTAAACCATAAGGTTAAAGTTCAAACCTACGAGCTGCTCCTCAGAAACCCTATACAGGGTTGCTATGAATTGGAACCAACTCAATGGCACTTAACAATAACAACAACAATGGCTACATATGGAGTCCTGGATAAACACTAGACTGCTAACCGCAAGTCCAGCAGTTCAAACCTTATCAGCTGCTCCCCAGAAACCCTATATGGGTGGCTTTGAGTCAGAAACTACTGGAGAGCACTTAAAACAAAAACAGTGGCCACATAAAGTGCATCATGAACTTGAATGGCTAACAAATAAGCCAATTACACCTTCTGTATGTAAGAGAAATACCATGGTAAATCTAGAGGATTTGTTCTCCTAAACACATTGTATTCATACTTGCAACACTCATTTCTTTAGCAGTGACCTTGGGAAGCCGTATTTCCTTCAGGGCGTACATCCGATTACTGCCTTCCTGCTGAACCAAAAGGGCTCTGCCAAAGGAGCCTTCACCAAGCACTTGCAGAACTGTGTAGTCATCCATGCTGGGGCTCCCACACAGCCTGGCTTCATTCATGGAATCACCTCAGCACTCCCAGGCTGTATTCAAACACAGAACACTGAAGAATTCAATTTTTTTTCAGACAGCAAAATTAATTCAAACTCACTCTTATTTTCCTAGAAAGACAATGGCGCAATGGCAATTTACTCTTTATTCATGCAAAAGAAAAACCCACTACCATCCACAGCAACCCTATAGGACAGAGTAGAACTGTCCCATAGGGTTTTCAAGGCTATAAATTTTTATGGAAGGAGACTGCCCCATCATTCTCCCATAGAGCAGCTAGTGGATTCAAACTGTCAACTTTAGTTAGCTGCCAAGCGCTTCACCACAGCACCCCCTGGGTCCCTTAAGAGCTAGAAACTGAGCACTAATTCTATGCCAGATGTTAGACTCTTGAACAAATTTTCTCATGGTCGTTTCCACCATGGGCACTCCAATTCAATGGGGACCACAGACTCAACAAATGGGAGACTGGTGAGTTTTACAAAGAAGGGTTATATCATGCAGCAGCAGAAATGTTTGAGGAGTTAGGAAAATAATGTTTAAGCTGAAACCTGAAGGTTTAGGGAGCTGGCTAGGCAAACAGAAGGGAACGAGTGATCAAAGTAGAGGGAATCATATATTTGACTGCGAAAGTGACTGTGTCCATGGAATGGACTACTCAACCATAAAGTGAAATTAAGTCCTGCACATGCTACACACGGATGACCCTTGAAAACATGCTGAGTGAAGTCAGTCATTCACAGAAGAATAAATATTTTATGGTACCACTTACATGAAACATTTAGAACATGCAAGTAAAAAGAGACCAAATTTTATTAGTGTTTATCAGGGCAGGGAGTCCCTGGAAGGTGCAAACAATTAATATGCTTGACTGTTAACCAAAGGGTTGACAGGAAATTCAAGACCATCCAGAAGAAAGGCTTGGTGATTTACTTTGGCTACTGAAAATGCTATGAAGTACAGTTGTACTCTGACCCACATGGGGTCACTATGAATTAGCATTAACCTTGTCAGCAACTGTTTTTGTCACCAGGGTCCAGTGGGAGAGGAAAACAGAGTCACTGTTTAAGAAGTGTTGAGTATCAATTAATGGTGAAGGAAAATTTGGTAATGGATGCAGGTGATGATGGCACACTATGATTAATGTAATTGATGTCAATGAAATTGTACACGTAAAAAATGGAATTGACAAACTTTGATATAT